GCAACTGTCAGTGATTTTCTCCCATGAATTCTTCACCCAAGTCACAACTTCTTGCAGTTTAGGTTCCACAAAGTTTCCACGCTGATTTCTCTCCATTCTATTTTCAATGTAGTCATTAATTTCCATGCGCAAATTGTCTTTGAATGGCTCGTTTATTGCAATATCAAGAGTCTGGAGATAGGCCGTCATTCCTGTGGGAATCATTATCTGATCTATTTTTCGTTCATGAAGAAATGTCTTCATGTCTTTAGCATGGTGAGTGTTGGCTGCATCCCAGACTAGCTGACCTCTTTAGCTTCCCCTCGCATAACAAGCAGCAGCATTAAATTGACCCACTTCCTTATAACCGCTAGTGTGGCCCAGGCTTTTTCAGTTTCAAGAATAAAAACGCCCAAAACATGTTCAATCTTTTCCTTCTTGCCCTTAGAAATGATTAAAGGTGGGATTTTAGTGCCATCCAGATGAATTGCCAAAATACAGGGAACACGTGCACTTTCGTAAGCAGTGGAATGTACACTAAGGAGGCACCCTGCTGTTCAATTGTTGTTTGAGATGATTGGCCCATAAACACTGCAGTTTCATCCATAGCAATCATGTTGGAAAGACTGTATTTAGAGAAGTCAGCATCATCAATAAAGGACTTGAATGCAAGTGCTCGCTTAATAACTTGAGTATCATCCAACCTAAACAATGTTGTAGATCTTCTTACAGACAGTTCACTTCGCTGAAGGAAATTATCCAGCCAGTGTTGTGATGCTTTGAAGTCTTTGTGGGCTATGTCAAACTGTGGTGCCATGGCAAGGGCAAATTCTTGAATCTGAGCCCTATTCACAACCAAAGCCTGTGCTCTCCTGTCAACCACCCATTCACAGATCAGGTCTTCCAGCTCGGAAAATAATGGTTGCCGACCTGATCCACACTTGCGCTTTTTAGCATTTCCCTTGTCCACTTGTTCAATGAGGTTACTATACTCTGCTCGCCATTTTCGGACCAATCAGATACTCAACATCTTCTCTTTGCAGAAAGCAGTAAGATTTTGGCCCCAAGAGTCTTCCACGATTCCTTTCTTGTACTTCACGGAGTAGCTTTTTCTTTTTGCGCTCATTTCTAGGGGAAAAAAAGGAATTGGGGTATCAAGGTGGGGAGAGGGAGATCACTTAAAATGACACAGGGGGGATCAGAGGGGAGAATCAAAATGGCACAGGAGAATCAGAGGGGGGATTACCATTTTAGTAACCCCTTTTGATCCTCCTGTGTCATTTTGATTGCCCCCTCTGATCCTCCTGTGTCATTTTAAGTGATCCCTCTCCCCCCACCACTGTGCCACTGAACACCTTCACCAGACATCCCCCCTACCCCTTTATCAGACATTTACCCCCTGGGGCCTGCCTGGGGACTGTCACTGGGCTTGCTGGGGCCTGGATCTGGGCTGGAGCAGGGTCTGCCACTGACTGAGAACCTTCAGTCATCATGAGGGCGGCCGCGAGCATCAGGTAGTGTCACCAGAGACAGACCAGCACTCACCACCTTCACTGTGTCCTGTCCTCTCTAATCCTCCTGTTCTTCTACATGCATCCGTGAAAGTCTCCTCCTCTCTCCAACCTAGCGCTCACCACTCACTCAGACCTCTGCTCCGCCTCCACACAGCAGTGATGTCAGGACGCCACATAATGTCACTGGTTGCTAGATGCCAGTCGGGGCGGCCCTAACGACCAGTTTATGGTAAATTCATTTTCATTCTGAGACAGAGCCTGGGGGGCCTTATTTTCAGGGAGATGCCTTATATTTCACTCAGAAGGAAACCTGTAAGTAGGTCTTATTTTTGGAGGATGTTTTATTTTCGGGGAAACACAGTAGAATTTTAGAGTACTTGCTACTTATTAAAAAAAGTTTGTTAAAAAAAAGTTTGCTGTTGTCCACCCCATGAGGCTCAGTGATTGAGCATGAATCTATGAACCAGGAAGTCACAGTTCCATTCCCAGTCAGGGCACATTCCAGGGTTGCGGGCTTGATCCCCAGTGGGGGGCATGCAGGAGGCAGCCATTCGATGAGTCTCTCATCATTGATATTTCTATCTCTCTCCCTCTACCTTCCTCTCTGAAATCAATTAAATATATACACTGAATGGCCATATTATTATGATCTCTCAACGTATAATAATATGGCCATTCAGTATATATATACACATATTAGGGGCCCAGTGCATGAATTCGTACATGGGTGGGATCTGGCCAGCCTAGCCAGGGGGAGGGGACATTAGCGGTTGGCCGGCCTGCCTTCTGGTCCAACTGCTGGTCAAGGGGACAATTTGCATATTAGCCTTTTATTATATAAGATATACACTGTGTGGCCAGATTATAATGTGTTCTGTGATCATAATAATCTGGCCACTCAGTCTATTTTAAAAAAAGGTTTGCTGTCAGTGTGTCATGTTACTCCGGCAGCAGGCTCATACATCTTGTGTCTATCATGCCCCTTGATTGCATTATTTTGTCTTTGCTGGATTCAATCTTGTGTTGTTTTATAAAGTAACATGCTATACAGGCTTGTAGCCTAGGAGGAATAGGCTGTCCCATATAGCCTAGGTGTGTAGTAGGCTATACCATCTAGGTTTGTGTAAGTGTATTCTATGATGTCCACAGAACAAAATCACCTTACAATGCATTTCTTAAAATGTATCCTTGTCAAGTGGGGCATGACTGTATTACTGGTGGAAATGTAAAATGGTACAGCCACTTTGGAAAACATTTTGGCAGTTCCTCAAAAAGTTAAACATAGTCATCACATGACTCAGCAATTGCACTCCTAAGTGTAAGTCCAAGAAAATTAAAAATATACATCTATATAAAAACACATATTTGAATGTTCATAGCAGCCCAAATATAAAAACAACTCAAATGTCCATCAGCTGATGAATAAACAAAATGTGGTATATCCATATAATTAATGGAATATTCAGCCATAGAAAGAAATTGCTATGGATTAAATGTTTGTGTGCTTCCCCTCAAACTCTGTATTTTGAAGCCGTAATCACAAATGTGATGCTATTTGAAGGTGGGGCTTTAGGAGGTAACTAGGTTTATATAATTCATGAGGGTGGAGTGTCCATGATGGGAATGGTGACTTTATAAAGGGATAGAGAGATCACAGCTTATTTGTGCTCACAAACTCCAGAAAAAGGAAGCCATCTGCAAACCAGAAAGAGGCTCTCACCAGAACCTAACTATGTTGGCATTCTGATCTGAATCTTCTAGCCTCTAGAACTACAGAAATAAATGTTTGTTGTTTAAGCCACCCAGATTATGGTATTTGTTATAACAACTTGAGCTAAGACTGAAAAGAAATACTGTTACATGCTAAAATATGGACAACCTTGAAAACACAGTAAAAGCATTCAGAAACAAAAGGTTACATATATGAGTCCATTTATATGAAATATTTAGAAAGGCAAGTCCATAGAGAAAGTAGATTAGTGATTGCTGATGATGGGGCCTGGGGAATTGGGACAATCTCCTAACAGGTATAGATTTCTTTTTGGGGTGATGGAAATGTCCTAGAATTGGTAGTGATGGCTGCAAAACATTGTGAATATATTAAAAATTGCTGAATTACACACTGTAAAATTATTTAAATTGTGAGTTTTATCTCAAATTTTTAAATTTAAAAATTATAACTTTTATCCAAACCATACTTACAACTATATATAAAATAGAAGCCTTTGAAATTATATAAAACTTAAAAATGCAGTTGTGGATATTTTCTGTCCTCTTCAAAAACTCTTAAATTTCAATGTAGCATTTTTTATAATAAGAAAGAAACTGAAACCAATCTAAATGTCCATTATTAGGAAATTTGTTAAATTATGATGCAGCTATCAGAAAGATTGATATATGCTGATTGAAAAAAGCACAGGGTCAAACAGTACTTGTATCTGCATAAGCTTTTAAAAATGCTAACCACAGAATAGAAATTGGAAACTTTTTTTTTTATGTTTTATTGATTTTTCACAGAGAGGAAGGGAGAGGGACAGGTAGTTAGAAACATCGATGAGAGAGAAACATCAATCAGCTGCCACTTGCACACCCCCTACTGGGGATGTGCCCACAACCAAAGTACATGCTCTTGACTGGAATCGAACCCGGTACCCTTGAGTCCGCAGGCAGACGCTCTATCCACTGAGCCAAACCGGCTTCGGCAAAATTGGAAACTCTGAAGTTTTAATTTTATGTCATCCTATATTATTTTAATAAAAATTTGAGAAAAAGTAATATTTAATTCCTTTTTGGAATAACAACTTCAAGTATTTAGATGGCTTTCAAATACATTAAGCATTCAAGTTATCTGTTGAATATAACATGTGCAATATGTAAGGAAAGCTTCTTTAAATGTTATTATCTTTTACAATCAGAAAATGGATGTTGTAATAACACAATCTACATTTTCTGATAGATTGTACTTGTGATCACAAGCAGCATTTCTAAACAATTTCCCACAAAGCCATTATACAAAGAGAAAAAAAAAAAAACACTATCAGGAAAAAAGCAATTCTACATACAAAGAGAATGAAAAATGAGAAATTATATTTCTGATAACATGACTCAAAATTATGTATTTATGATAATAGTGGTTTGTGATCTTAGATATATAACATGACCCTGATTTAAGGATACTATGCCTATAAGGACATGAAAGCTATTATAATGTAGGAAGAGTAAATTTGCTATATTCATGCATAGATGATGAATAATAAAGAGAACATCTTATAAGTATTAAATTACTTGAAAATCTACAAAAGGATATTAGCAGCATCAGAAGCCTAAAAGGTACATCAGCAAAAATAAAGGATACATATTTCATCTAGTTCTTAATGTTGTCAGAGAATTTGTATGATTGGAATAACACTGGAGAAATTTGCTTTGAAGTACAGATAAAAATATCACAGAAATTCATACTTCTACTTAGGAAGTAATGATGGCAATTTAAGGGGAGAAAAAACCTACCTGCCATTCAAACTCACTGTCTGACCAATCCCAGTATGTGCTAATAGAAGAAGAGACATCACTGCAGACACTCCCCTCAGGAAATAAGTCAAAAGAAGTGAAGTCTTGCTCATCTAAGAGGGAATAGCAATCATCTTGATCTCCAACAGAAACTGACGAAAACAGCTCCTCACTGCACTCTGAGCTGGCAACACTTGTTCCACAAGAAGTTAAGTTCCACCTTAAAAAAAGGAACAAAAGAAATCACAACAGGAATTACAGAAACTACCCAATTTAAAGATATTAATAATACATTTATGATATTCATGAGGAATGTGGGTATATTTTAGGTATGATAATGATACTGTGATTCTTTTCTAAAGAGCTCTTATCTTTTAAGGTTACATCTATAATAAAAAAAGCATAATATGCAAATGAACTGAACAACCAAACAACCGAACAGTAGAACGACCCTCCAGACAACCACATTATGACACCGACAGGCCCCAGACCAGCCAAGGCAGATGCAATGCAATTGGTCAGGAGCCTGGCCATCACCCCATGATTGATCACAAGATAGCCTGCAGAGGGAGGCCCAGGCCACTGACTGGCAGGCTGTGGAGGGTGTGTAGGGCCTGCCTCTGTGGGGGCAATCTATTACGGAACCCCGGCCAGGTGGGCAGAGCCTCGCTCTTTGGGGAGATTGATCACGGGGCTCCTGGACTGTGAAAGGGCACAGGGCGGGCTGAGGGCCCCCCTACCCCCCACAAGTGCACAAATTTCATGCACTGAGCATCTAGTATTAAAATATTTATGAATGAGATATGTCAGGGATTTGTCTCAACATAATAAGGGGTTGATAAATGAGTAGGGGGTACTGATAAAGCTCACTGCCATATGTGAATAACTTACACTGGATGATGGGTATATTGGGTACATTACATTAGTCTCTGTATCTGTTTGAAAATTTTTATAATACAATATTTTAAAAGAAAAAAATGTATTTATTTAGGGATAAAGTAAAACTTTCATCCATAAGCAAACATATAGCATACTGGTTATGAGTAAGCTCTGGAGTCAAACTGAGTTCAAATTCTTGCCCTGTCACTTGCCTGCTGTTTGATCTTAAGCAAAACACACCCTCTCCAAGCCTATGTCCTATTTTTCAAATGCAGCTACAGTGAAAAATGTATACAAAGCGCTTAGCAGACATAAAAAAGTGTTCAATACATGGCAGCTATTATTATCATTAAATAAAAAGAGTAGCCATTGCAGGGCAGAGAAAAGCACCAACAAAGTATACAGGTAGAAGCTCAAAATCAGTGCAGCCTTCTTATATGCTCAGCCAGCATGGCTCAGTGGTTTAGCATCAACCTAGGAACCAGGAGGCCACAGTTCAAGTCCTGGTCAGGCACATGCCTGGGTTGTGAGCTCGATCCCTAGTAGGGCAGGCATGCAGGAGGCAGCCAATGCATGATTCTCTCTCATCATTGATGTTTCTCTCTCTCTCCCTCTCCCTTCCTCTCTGAAATCAATAAAATCTTTTTTAAAAAAAAAAGTATTTCTTACAACCAATAATACCCAGCAATAACTAATCTATATATATAAAAGCCTAAGCGACCACCCGACCATCCAATAGGTAGCTATGACATGCAATGACCACCAGGGGGCAGAAGCTCCAACCAGTAGCTATGATGCGCACTGACCACCAGGGATCAGATGCTCAAAGCAGGAGCTGCCAAGCTGCAGTGACTTGGCAGCTGTGGTTCTCAGGTGATGCACCCAGAACCAGAGAGGAGGGAGCCCAATTCTGTGGTGCATCACCTGAGAACTGCTCTCTCACAATCCGGGACTCCTCAGGGGATGTCAGAGAGCTAGTTTCACCTGATCCCCACAGGTCAGGCCAAGGGACCCCATCTATGCTCTAGTCCATATTTTGGTACTTTTTCTGCATGAGTATTTTTTTTCAAAGAGTCAGCATTCTGCATATATTTTAGTGACCAGCTTTCTTTCACTTAGCATTATACAGTGAACATATCCCCATGTATATTATCTGAAAACATTTTAAAGACTATACAATATCCCATTTATGAAATGTATCATAGTTTATTTAATCTTATTCCTACAATAATATATACCGTATTTTTCGGACCATAAGACGCACTTTTTTCCCCCAGAAGTGGGGGGAAAAAGTCCCTGCATCTTATGGTCCAAATATAGCCTACACATATACTTTAAAAAAAAAGTTTTTTTACTTGCCCAGCTCTGTGTGGTCTCTGTGTGCTTGCCCGGCTCTAAAATGGTTCTAAATGCTGCTGTTTACTTTACAGGGTTGATTACATGTGTTTATGACTGTGATGTTGGGTTTTAATGCACATAAAATATTTTAGGACACTATTTGTTTCAGAATCTTTTTTTCTTCATTTCCCTTCTCTAAAAACTGGTGCGTCTTATGGTCCGGTGCGTCTTATGGTCCGGTGCGTCTTATGGTCCGAAAAATACGGTACTTAAGCTGTTTACAGTTTTTTTGGTATTACAAGAAATACTGAGATAAAACTTTTTGTTTATAATTATTAATCCAAATATATAATCTCTCAGGATAGATTACTTGAAAGTAAAGTACTGAGTCACAGAATATAAACACTTTAAAGACCATTAGTTAAATACCTTTCTGAAAGGCTGCACTGATTTACACTCCCCAAAGCAGTATATAAAAGTGGTCATTTCACCACAACTTTAACAGCACTGGAATTTTCACTTCTAAAATGTTTACCTGATGGGTAAAATATATTTTATTGATTTTTTACAGAGAGAAAAGAGAGGGACAGAGAGTTAGAAACATCGATGAGAGAGAATCATCGATCAGCTTCCTCTTGCACAACCGCTACTGGGGATGTGCCCGCAACCAAGGTACATGCCCTTGACCAGAATCGAACCCGAACCTTTCAGTCCACAGGCTGATGTTCTATCCACTGAGCCAAACCGGTTTCAGCAGAAAATTTTTTTTTAATTTTTAATTCTTTGATTATGGGAATGATCAAAATTAAAAATATCATTTGCTATTTTGCTATAGCATTTTTCTCTGTATGAATGTTTTCCTTATTGATTTTTTAAAGAGTTCTTTATGCATTAAGGATATTAACATTTCATTTGTAATATTTGTTGCAGGGTTATAATTTCTTTCTTTGTTTTTCTTTTTGGTCTTGAAATCTACAAATCTGTTTTCTTTTGTAAATTTCCAGTAGCTATATACTAGTAATAATATAATCTTCATTGCTTTGGCAGTACCCTAGGGAATTAATTCTTAAAATAATGGTTTAATGTATCAGATACTAATAAGGTACTGAAATAATGACTTCTGAAGAAAAGTCTGTTATTTACCTATAATTAGGTTGTTTCTCATTCATTAAATCCAGTTTTATTCTTGAATTGTATTTTTTCATTTTTTAACTTCTCCCTCTTATTTTGTATGACTAACCTTAATTCCAAAGTTATTAATTTACAAAATTCAGGCAATCCAGCAAATTCTATGGCACCTTTTCCATTGAGCTAAAGGTAAAGTATTTTATATCAGTGAAACAGACACAGAGATATATACACTCTAAACTATTATATAGTTTAGTAAATATAAAAGCAGATGTCAGCAAACTTTTATAAGTAGGCAAATTATAAAATTCTAAGAATCCATGAATATACCTTCTAATATTGCCTAGTTTCATCACATGCTTGCTAGGTAGGAAGTATCCTCATTTTTAAAAAATCAATAAACCTAGTACAACTCACCAAATTGCCCAGGTCTAAGAGAGCAATGTCTAAGCCTGCAGGCGGACACCTCCTGAGGGGTCCTGGACTGTGAGAGGGCACAGGCCGGGTTGAGGGACACCCCCCTCCCTGCCCCACAGTGCACAAATCTCATGCACCAGGCCTCTAGTTAGTGTATAAAAAAGCCATAAATCTCTGGGTGTTAATTTTGTATCCTGTTATATTGTTTAATTCATTTACTAGCATTAAGTCTAGTAGTTATTTGATGCTCAAAGTTACTAATCATCCAAGAGATGCAAATCAAAACAATGCAGTACCATCTCACACCTGTCAGAATGGCTATCATCAACAAATCAACAAACAAGTGCTGGAGAGGATGTGGAGAAAAAGGAACCCCTCATGCACTGCTGGTGGGAATGCAGACTGGTGCAGCTACTGTGTAAAACAGTATGGAGTTTCCTCAAAAAGTTAAAAATAGCACTCCCGTTTGACCCCGTTGACCCAGTAATCCCACTTCTAGTAATATATCTCAAGAAATCAGAAATACCAATCAGAAAGGACATATGCACCCCTATGTTCATAGCATTACAATTTACTATAGCTAAGATTTGGAAACAGCCTAAGTCCCATCAGCAGATGAGTGTATTAAAAAACTATGGTACATCTACACAATGGATACCACACTGCTATAAAAAAGGAACTTTTAGCATTTGCAACAGCATGGATGGATCTGGAGAGCATTATGCTAAGTGAAATAAGCCAGTCAGAGAAAGAAAAATATCACATGATCTCACTCATTTGTGGAATATGATGAACAATATAGACTGATGAACAAAAATGGATCCAGGACAGAGAAGCACCGAAGGTACGTACAATCAGCCTCAGAGGAAAGGCAAGGGACAGGGGAGGGGGGAGGGGGAGAGGAATGAAAGAGATCAACCAAAGGACTTGTATGCATGCATATTAGCATAACCAATGGACAAGGACACTGGGGTGATGGGGGCTTGTCCTGGGGGGTGGGAGTGGCCGGGGAGGGGTTGATGGGAGAAAAAGGAGACATATGTAATACTTTAAACAATAAGAAATTAATAAAAAGAAAAAACTATTCATTCCTTTTCACTCAGTAATCTAGGAATCCATTCCCTCCCCCAATAAGAAATTAATAAAAAGAAAAAACTATTCATTCCTTTTCACTCAGTAATCTAGGAATCCATTCCCTCCCCCAATAAGAAATTAATAAAAAGAAAAAACTATTCATTCCTTTTCACTCAGTAATCTAGGAATCCATTCCCTTCCCCAAATAGAAATTTGGAAACAAGATGTACCGTATTTTTCGGACCATAAGACACTCCGGACCATAAGACGCACCAGTTTTTAGAGAAGGGAAATGAAGAAAGAAAGATTCTGAAACAAATAGTGTCCTAAAATATTTTATGTGCATTAAAACCCAACATCACAGTCATAAACACATGTAATCAACCCTGTAAAGTAAACAGCAGCATTTAGAACCATTTTAGAGCCGGGCAAGCACACAGAGACCACACAGAGCCGGGCAAGTAAAAAAACTTTTTTTTTAAAGTATATATGTAGGCTATATTTGGACCATAAGATGCAGGGACTTTTTCCCCCCACTTCTGGGGGGAAAAAAGTGCGTCTTATGGTCCGAAAAATACGGTATGTTTTTCTGGTTACTAAACTTATACCAGTGACAGACCAACCTAAATAACAGGTGACTCTAACCTGAACACTAAGAACATTCAACCTTAGGAATCATAAATAATGGTGCCCAGAATCCAATAAATGAACAGGTGTAGAAATGTCATCATTCTAAGGCCTTTATCAACAGCATTATTTAAACACTCTCCAGTTTTCTTATCAGGCAACAAGAAGCAAAATAAAGGTAAGTCAAGTGTCTACCCCTTGACATGCTTTCCACTTTGAATGAATTTTTTTTATAATAACTAAACCCAAAGCAGAATATCTGTACTCAACAATACAGATATGTTTTTTGGATTGTTGCTCAAATTGGTGAATGATTTGATGTGAATTAAAAAAGTGACACTTAAAACTTCAAAATAAAAGAACTCCCTAAGAGGGAGAGTATGTGTGGGAGGGAGGGTGGGGGACAAAAAAAATCAATAAAATATATTTTAAAAAAAACCTCCCTAAACTTTACCCACATATATGATTTAGCTGTTCGCTTCTCCCTGAAAAAAAATGACTGGAAGCATATAGTCCTCCTCTCAAATACCATCATGGGGAGGGGGTAAGAAGGCAGAACATTCCTGAGCAGAAAAGATTTAAAAAGTAAGGTAGCCCAAGGAAGAAACAACAGCTGCTGTAAGAATTGCTAATTTTGCTTTCACTAATCTCTGCTCAAAAGAATACAGAGAAAGATACATTAGATCTCCTACTGCAATTCCAAGCCTTGCAAAAAGTGGGGGAGGAGAGGGAGGTTTTGAAAAATCAGGCAGTAACGGGGGGAAAAAAATGCTTGACTTGGAAAAAGTAGGGCTGAACGGGAACTTCCCCCTCCATCTTCACTGCCCCATTCTGCAAAACAATCTTGGTTTTACCATGGTCTCCAAGAAAGGGGATAGAAAAACACAAGGAAAAAATGGGGAGGAGGAAGCTGTAGGGAATGTACTGTTCTTGTTTCACGCCCCCATCACTCCAGTCCATTTTGGCAGTGCTAGCCCTCAGCCTCTGTCCCTACACTCCCTTGTCCTCATTATCAGAGCAAGTTAATTCTGAAATCATTTCACTATTCCGTGTATTTAACTTGATACAATGTTGCAAAATGCAAATATGTCCAAAAGTATTATTTCACACTATTTTCCAATGCCAAAAATCCTAAGCACACCAGATTTCATCAATATGAGACATTAATGTTAAAGTTACTGTATGGGTTAATAGGCTTTAGTGAGTTAGTCTAAGAAAGTATAATAACCATTTATTACACTGGAGCCATTAACTCTGTTCCAAGTTTTAGCACTGGCTCCAAAAGAGTGTCCCTGGTTTTGCCTCAGTTTATGACGTTGAACTCAGTCTTTTCTCTCTGGGCCTCAGTTTACCAGCATTTCCTTTTCAAATATGATATGTTGTACTGATGTTCTGGATGATTGCTTAACCTTCCAGATGATATAACTTTCTTTTAGGTAAGAGTCATGTTTTATACCAGTACATTCCTTGTATCTGGTAGAAGCTCAGTAAATCTCTAGACTTATTTAAGAGATGGCCGGGAACATACAAAAGACATTAAGATGTGAAAGGATTTGTTCATGCTCATATTATAAACTGCATCAGAAATCAGAACTAGACTCCTTAATTCAACTCCAGTATTTTCTATAGCTGAACTCCTCTCCTCCTTTTTCTCCACACACAATCCCAGGCCTTTGTATTTATATCTCAAACAACTACCTACATCAAAGGTTGGGGCTACGTGTAAAACATCTTCAAATCCCTCACATTCCGTATAACACTTAAATGCTTGCTTGAGAGAATTCTTCAAAGTACTCCTTTCTAATAAAATCAGTTAAAGGACGCACCCCCTGAATACATTTGTATTAAGTAAGCCTATCCAAAGCCTCGTTCCATCCTTCCACAAGGGGAGCAAATCAAGGGGTGTGCAACATGAAGAAATCTTCCAGATTTAAGCTTGTACATTTTGGAAGGCCCTAAAGCGTGAAGGTAACGAGTTCGGAAAGGAGAGAGAGAGAAAAAAAAAAAAAAAAAAAAAATGGTTTCCTAGAGCTTCACTAAAAAATGGGAGGGGAGGTGGAAATAGAGTTGTGAGACAGGTTAAAAATTGGGGGAAATAATATAGCTTTAAAAGTGCCACCTTTCAAAAGATCCGGGGATTAATTTGGAGCTATCTGAAACCCACCTGTCAGAAATGGAAGGGGTTAAACGTTAGCGGGTGAAAGAAAACGGAGCAGCTAAAAATCAAAGGCGGGGGTCTGGGATTCGCAGGGGGCAGGTGGGGGAGGGATAGAGGAGGAGGAGGAGCTAAGACCAGAAGATGAATGGGGAAAGAGAGTAAAATGCCGACCAAGGGAAATCGGGAGGGCAGGGTGAAAAGGGGGAGGGGAAGCGAGAAGGGGACCGGAATGCACGCTAATCCAGGAGAAAGGTGGGGGAGGGGCGGATGTGAGTGCAGACCCTGGGCGGAGCGCGAGGCTCGGGGCGACCCAGGAGTCCCAGACTTCAGGCAGGAATGTGGGCAATCAACCCTGTTCCCAGCCGTGGTTCATACCTGTTAGTGTGGAAGCGGTGGAGCGGGTCGGTACGATGGCAAGAAGACAGCTGGCAGCCGAAGTCACTGATGTCCAGGCAGCCAGGCTCCTCGCTTGGGCAGGTGCCCACCCCGCGAGGGGGTCCCAGAAGCGGGAAGGGTTCCTCGGGGGTCAGAAACTTCTCGTACGAAGTGGTGGCCGACGTCTCGTCGGACATGGCTGGAGATGGCCGAGCTCGGGCTACCTCTCCGGTCCCGGGCTGCTCCCAGGTCCACCCCTGCCCCCACTCTAAACTGCCGCCCTCACCGCCACGCCTGGGTGTGCCACCGCAGTTCACCTGCGAGCTCCACGCCCGCCGCTGCCCCGGGAGTGCGGCGCCGCGCGAAGGGGCTGCTCCGGGCCACAGCCCTCTGGCTCCCGAACCGGTTCCCCTGAGGCTTCCGCAGCCCACTCGGTCCCGGCGCCGCTGCTATCCAGCCGCCTCGAAAGCGCAGCGCCGCCGCCGCCAGGCCCGCCCACTGCGCTGGCCGCCCGGGTCCGCCCAGCGCCGGCCGGGACTGGAAGGGCAGCCGGAAGCCGCGCCCCGCGCCCCCTGCTGGAGTGGAGGAGAAACTGAACCTCCGCAACCGCACCGCAGCCACAGTCGCAGTCGCAGCCGCACTGCCCACTCCGCCCTCCCTGTGGCCAATCAGGGATTCCAGGCGCTAAAAGGCCCAGCACTTCAGGCCAAGCCCCTCCTCCGCTTTGGCACTGGCAGCCACAGGCCTTCGAAAAGGGACTTGGCCAAGGTAACACTGAGGTTGTGTGAGAAAGAATCCCGATGCCCTGGATCCCAGCGTACTAGATCACCCTGTCCCAATTCAAGTTATTTATTGAGCTCCTGAAGATGTGTGCCCAGCACTGTGCATTGTGCTTTAGGGAAAATGAGCTAAGCAGAGAAAAATCGTCCTTGCCTATATTTTCACCAAACCCTGAGAATTACAGGCAATGGCCTCCAGGGTACTCAGAGCTGCTGAACGCATAGAGCTCTTTTGTGCTCTGTGCTGTGGTTTGCATTAAGTATTCAGCTTGGAGTGCCCTGCCATTTCTTCCTTGTTAATCCTTAAAGCCCCGGCTAAATCGTTACCTGCTCTGTGAAGTCTTCCCTGACTCTCAAAGGAGACAGATATTCCTGCCAATGCTCCCCTAGAAAGGGCGCTTACCTTGTTAAATCCAAACAATTTACTAGGTGTCACATACTGTTCTTTCTTCCTTTTATCTGTATTCTAGACAAGGGGTTCCAGGTCTTAGGTGAATACATTTTTTAAAATATTCAGAGGAAAACACAAGATCGCTAATTTCTTATTTTGCCAACTGAACTCAATTTTCAAAATTTTCTACTATTTTGTAAAAAGAAGCGTGTTTCCCTATAAAATTATGTGATCCCTGAGATCTAACAATGGTTCCTGATAGTGAACTGGGATAAGATTAAAAAAAAAAAAAAAAAAAAAGCAGAGCCTCGCAGCCATTTCTGCACAGGGACTGCCTGGCTCCGCACCCCTAAACTGCCTGCACTTTGTTTCTGCCAGCTGAACTAGTCCATATAAAGGAGATCCTGGAATCCTATTTCAACCAATAGGACCGAGGCTTTCACCACCCAGGAGTTTTGCAGCTTGACCAATCAGAGAAGCCCTATTCTGACCAATCAGGGACCAGAGGCCGGGATTTCTGTCTATATAAACCTGCTTCCCTGAGGATCCTAGAAGACTCAAGATTGTGATTGAATGACTGAAGCTGAAGCACTCAAGCCTTCTCCCTGGTTCACACCCGTGCTGTTTTCATAGCAGCCACGGTGTAACATTGTGGAAGTGTTCCACTCCAATGCTGTTTCATAGCCATGCTATGTTACTGTCAAACTGTTCACACCAAATCAAGTTTCCTTCCCCACAACACCCCAAATTGGAGATTCTTGTTGGCATTTGAAATGACACCAGAGGCCATCCATTTCTATTAAGGGCACATATAATCTCTCAATAAATCATCAGATATACTTAATATTGGAAAAGTGGATCGTTTCTACTGATTGGACAGCTGCCCATGCAAACCATCAACCTAACAGAATAAACACAGTTCCTAATACCTCTCTCTCTTCTTTAATCTTTATTGTTGAAAGTATTACATATGTCCTCTTTTTCCCCCATTGACCTATTCCAGCTGGTCCCCTTTTCCAGGCCTTCACCATGGGTTATTCATATATGCAAACAAGTTCATTGGTTGATCTCTACCCATCGACCCACCCTCTCCTGCTTCCTGCTGAGATTTCACAGTGTGTTTGATACTTTTATGTCTCTGGATCTATTTTTGTTCATCTGTTTGTGTTGTTCATTATATTCCACATAAAAGTGAGATCATATGATACTTATCTTTTTCTAACTGGCTTATTTCACATAGCATACTGCTCTCCAGGTCCATCCATGCTGTTGCACATGGTGTTTTTTACAGCTGCAAAGTATTCTGTTGTGTAAATGTACAACAGCTTTTTTATCCACTCATCTGCTGATGGACACTTAAGCTGTTTCCAAATCATAGCTATTATAAATTGTGCTGCTATGAACATAGGGGTGCATATAAAATTTCTGGTTGGTGTTTCTGATTCCTTAGGCTATGGTATATTCCTAGAAGCGGGATCACTGGGTCAAATGGGAGTTCTACTTTTAATGTTTTGAGGAACTCTATACTGTTTTCCACAAAGGCTGCACCAGTCCGCATTCCCACCAGCAGTGCACTACGGTTCCCTCTTCTCCACATCCACTAACACTTGCCATTTGTTGATTTGTTGTTGATAGCCATTCTGAAAAGTGTGAGGTAGTATCTCATTGTTCTTTTTATTTGTATCTCTTGGATGATTAGTGACTTTGAGCATTTTTTCATATGCCTCTTGGCCTTCTGTATGTCCACTTTGGAAAAGTGTCTATTTAGGTCCTTTGTTCATTTTTAACTGAATTGTTTGTCTTCTTTTTAAGTTGTATAAGTTCCCTGTTTATTCTGGAAAGTAACCCCTTATCAGATGTATTATTAGCAAATATATTCTCCCATGCAGTAGGCTCTCTTGTTATTTTGTTGATGGTTTCTTTTGCTGTGCAGAAGGTGTTTATTTTCATGTAGTCCCATTTGTTTATTTCCTCTTTAGTTTCCATTGTCCTAGGAGATGTATTGATAAACATGTTGCTACAAGAGATGTCTGAGATTTTTCTGCCTATAGTTTCTTCTAAGATTTTTATGGTTTCCCATCTTACATTTAAGTCCTTTATCCATTTTGAGTTTATTTTTGTGTATGGTGTAAGTTGGTGGTTTAGTTTCAATTTTTGCTTGTATCTGTCCAATTTTCCCAACCATTTATTAAAGAGTCTGTCTTTACTCCATTGTATGCTCTTGCTTCTTTTGTCAAATATTAATTGAACATAATGGTTTGGGTCAATTTCTGGGTACTCTATTCTGTTTAGTACCTCTTTTTTTATAAGGTGAAAGGAAAAGGCTCTCCAGGCCCTCTGGAAAATCTAAAAAATAGTGTTAGGTGCCAAAGATATCCTGAACATCATTTCATTTTACATTTAAGGTTCAATCTTAGGACAGAAAAAATAATTTAAAAAATTGTCAGAATATGTGAACACTTAAAACAGGGCAGTTGGTGATGAGAAACTCGCTATTTACAGAAAGAAACAACACAATTAAAAATAAAAGGTAGCATGATGATCAAGAACCATTGCTCTTTGTGTGTTTTTTTTTTAAATTAAGAATATAATAAACTCAACATAAAGCACAGAAAATTGTGATAAAACACAGAATCTTTTTTTTTTTTTATCTAGGCAGATTATACAGATTAACCCTTCATATTGCAGGTAAAGGAAATAAACAGTAAACCATTGAGTGTCTTGTACTGTTCTAGGCCCTGGAAATACAAAATGAATGTGACATATGCTAAACCTTTCAGGAATTAATAGTCTTGGTAAAGAAACAGATAAAACAAAGTGGGTTGAGGGGCAAGATAGGCATTGTTGTTTGAATATCATATACACTTTTTCCCAGTTATTTCTAAGTAACAAAACCTTATCTTTTTATTGGGAGGTAGCTATGTACCCAGGTGAAAAAATTAATTTTCCCAGCCTTCCTTTCAGATAAGGGTGCCCTTGTGCCTAAATACAGGACAATGCAATCAGAAAAAGACAAGTATCCCATCGTTAATGGGATTCATATGTGGACTCTGATTAACAAAATAAACTGGTGAACAGAGTGGATCCAGAGACATGGAAGCATGAAACAGAGTGTGGAATCTCGGAGAGAAGGCGGGGGAGGATGGGTGGGTGGGAGACCTTGTATGCATATATGCATAACCTATGGATGCAGACTGTGGGGTGGTGAGGGCCTGGGGTGGGGATTGGGGGTGGGCTGGATGGGGTTGATGGAAAAAAAAGGGAGACATCTTATATAATAAAAGCCTAATATGCAAATCAATGGAATGGCGGAACAACCAGCAGATGCTCAACACAGAAGCTGGCCCCTGGTGGTCAGTGTGTTTCCACAGGAGGAGCGCTGCTCAGCCAGGGCATTAAGGAGTGAGGGGTCTCAGGCTGCGAGAGCCCTGACTGTGAGAGGAATGTCTGACTGCTGGCAGGTGGACATCCTCCAAGGGGTCCTGGACTGTGAGAGGGTGCAGGCTGGGCTGAGGGATTCGTGCACTGGGCCTCTAGTATGAAATACTTTCAATAATAAAGATTTAAATAAATAAATAAATAAATAAATAAATAAACAAACAAATAAATAAATAACAATGGTATGTGGGTGGCAGTTGTTGGATTGGGCTTCCTAGAAAGTTTCATAGTTTTGTCTGTGTGTATACATGTTATGCACTGGTGTGGGGACATAGGAGTAATGTTTCCTCTGGGGCCCTTTTACATTACCTTCTTACTCATTCTCCCCCAGGTATGGATGTGATGGCTAGACCTTTATCAATAATGTTACACTGAGGAAAACTTGAGCTAGGAAGGCAGAGCTTGATCTTGCAAAACAACAGAAAGATAAAAGGAGCCACCATAACATTGTTGAATTGCCTATTTTTGGATTTTTTGTATGTGATAGAAAAATAATGGATTCTTAATGACAGCTAAACATAAATGCTAATCCATGCAACATGTAATTATAATACAGTGAGATACAAGGTCTAAAAGAGGTATGTATAAAGACCTATAAACACACATGGACAAAATGGATGAATTCTGCTGGTAAGAGATGAGATTGTGGAGGAATTTACAAAGGGAGTGACATTTAACCTGGGCTTTTAGAATATGAGTAGCTGTCTACTAAGCTTGGAAAGATGAATATTTTAATTTATTTCAGAGAGTAAGGGAAAGGAAGAAAGAGATAGAAACATCAATGATAAGAATCATTGATTGGCTGCCTTATGCATGCCCCCTACTGGGGATCAATCCTGCAATCCCAGAATGTGACCAGAATCAAACCCAGGACCCTTCAGTTTGCAGACCGAGGCTCTATCCACTGAGCCA